ACCCGTCAGTTCACAAGCCGATGCTCTAACCACTGAGCCATACCGGCTAGGGCCTCTCTTAATTTTAGATTTCACATATAAGTGTGGTCATAGGGTATTTATCTAATATACTTCTATCTGACTTATTTCACTTAGCATAATACCCTCAAGGTCCATCTATGTTGTAGCAGCTGGCAAAATTTCCTTTTATTAATAGCTGAATAATTTCCCATTGTGTATGTGTATGTATGTATGTGTGTGTACATATACAAAAAATGTGTACACACACATTGAATAATTATAAAGGCAGTGTTTAGTAAAGTACGTTTAATTTTCATGTAACAGCTATCAGCTGTTAAAGTGTGTATACATTTGGGGGGGATACCATGTATATATATGTTATTTCCATTTTATATGATGCTGCAGTGAACATGGGTGCATATATCTTTTCAATTTAGTGTTTTCATTACCGTAGGGTAAACACCCAGAAGTAAAATTGCTAGATCCTGTGGTATTGCTATTTTTGAGTTTTTGAGGCACCTCCATACTGGTTTCCATAGTGGCTACACCATTTACAATCCCACCAATAGTGCACCAGGGTTCCATTTCTCCACAAACTCACCAGCACTTGTTATTTCTTTTTCTTTTCTTTTAAGATTTTTATTTTATTAATTTTGAGAGAGAGAGGGAGAGAGAGAAACATTGATGTAAGAGCAAAACATCGATTGGTTACCTCCTGCATGCCCCCTACTGGGGATCAAGCCCACAACCCAGGCATGTGCCCTGACCGGAAATGGAACCAACAACTTTTCGGTGCACGGGAAAAGGCCCAACCAGCTGAGCCACACCAGCCAGGGCTCGTGTGTGTGTGTGTGTGTGTGTGTGTGTTGTTTATTTGGTGATAGGCATTCTGACAGGTGTGCAGTAATATCCCATTGTGGTTTTGATTTGCATTTCCCTAATGGTTAATAGTGTTGAGCATCTTTTTGTGTACTCATTAGCCATCTGTATGTCATTTTTGGAAAAGTATCTCTTCAGATTCTCCACTTGTCTTTTAATCAGCTTGTTTTTTTTTGCTCTTGGGCTGTGTTAGTTCTTTGTATATTTTAGATATTAACCCCTCATCAGATATGTGATTTACAAATATTTTCTTCTACTCTAAAGGTTGCCATTTCATTTGTTGACAGTTTTCTTTGCTGTGCAGAAGGAAACCTTTTAGTTTAATGTTTATTTTTGCTTTTGGTGACAAATTGAAAAAAATCATTACAACAACCATGTAAAGGAACCTACTGCCTGTGTTTTCCTTTTTTTTTAATCTCACCTGAGGATATTTGGTTTTTGTTTTTTCATTTTAGAGAGAGAAGAAGGGAGAGGGGGAGAGAGAGAAACATTGATGCAAAAGAGAAACATCAATCGGCCACCTCCTGATGGGAACCCACAACCAAGGCATGTGCCCTGGCCAGGAATCAGACTTGCAACCCTTTGGTGTATACTGAACAATGCTCCAGCCAACTGAGCCACACCAGCCAGGGCTGCCTGTGTTTTCTTCTAGGAGTTATATGGTTTCAGGTCTTATGTTTATATCTTTAATCCATTCTGAATTGATTTTTTTGTATGATGTAATCATAGTGTTCCTGTTTCATTCTTTGCATGTGTCTGTCCAGTTTCCTGAGCGCCATTTATTGAAGAGACTGTCCTTTCCCTGGTGTGTATTCTTGGCTCTTGTCATAAGTTAATTCACCACATATGCATGGGTTTGCTTCTGGGCTCTATTCTGTTCCATCAATCAGTGGTCTTGTGTGTTTTATGCCAATACCATACTGTTTTGATTGCTGTAGCTTTGTGATATAGTTTGAAATCAGGAAGCATGATGCCTCTAGCTACTGCTTTGTCAAGATTGCTGTGGCTATTCGGGATCGTTTGTGTTTCCATACAGATTTTAGGATTGTTGGTCCCTATTTCTCTGAAAAATGCCATTGGAATTTTGATAGCCATTGCATTGACTCCATGGATTGCTTTGAGTAGTATGGACATTTCAACAGTATTCTGCTAATTCAGGAGCACGAAATACCTTTCCATTTACTTATGTCTTCCATTTCTCAGAGGGTATACGCTTAATTTCTAAACGATAGGTGCATGCTTCTCGCCTGGGCCTTCGTAATAGTCCGTTTGCTTCTTTCCCTACCAACCTCCACTCTGATACCATTTCATTATTGGAGTGACATTTCTAAAATTGCAGATATAACTGTCACTCTTGTGCTTGCAACCTTCAGTGCTGCCCACTGCCTTCCAGGTAAAGGACAGACTTTCTCTTACAGCTGACAGCCGACCTTCAGCCTACTTTCCACCTCTCCTTTCCTCAGCCTGTGTTTCAGGGATACTAAACTACTTAACCTTTTTCTGATTATGCAGTGCTGTTCCGTATCTGTTCCTTTTGAAGTTATTTTATCTGCCTCCCACTTTTCTCACTCAAACTCCTTCAAGACTCAGCTCTCATAGTCATTTGAAATTCGGTCTGACCTTCCCAAGCAGGATAACTTTCCTTCATTATTGAGCCTATTAATGGTATATTATGATTATTTGGAGAAATGGGCTGTTTCATTTTTTTAAAATCTTCAAACACATTGCCTATAGCCTGGAACACAGTAGACACTCAAAAGTTTAAATAATGGCTCATGTCTGAAAGAAGATTGACCAAGATTTATATAGTTGTGTACTTATGTTTAGTTTTTTAAAGTTTTATTTTTTTTACGCTGGCCGGGTGGCTTAGTTGGTTAGAGTGTTGTCCCGATACACCAAGATTGCGGGTTCGATCCCTGGTCAGGGCACATAATGCAAGAATCAACCAGTGATGCATCAGTAAGTGGAACAAGTCGATGTTTCTCTCTCTCCCCCTTCCTTCTTCTTTCTCTCTTGCTCTCTTAAAAAAAAAAAAATGAATAAATAAAAATTTTAAAAATAATTGAAAATTTTTTCCTGATTATAGAAGTATGAAAGTAATACATATTTGCTTTTGAGAACTTGACAAAAATATAGAAAAGTTAAAATAATATGATGTCATTCAACTATTTCCAGCACATTTGGTATATTTCTTCCTAGCCTTCTTTTCCTTCGGTGTATATATCTGTTGGTGAGAGTGTTTTTTATTTTTACAAAATTGAGGCTTAATATCAAGTTCATTAGAGAACTAGGGCCATCCAGGGAAAGTATAGAAATAATCAGCACCTATTTCAAAGATAGGAAAATGGAATCTTTTAACAGAGAGTTCACTTTTTCCCCTCTGGTGATGATAAAGCTGTGTTTTCTGAGCAGAGAAGCTGCACTGTATACATTATCACTAGTCCTCAAGGAGCCCTGTGAGGTAGGAATCATTGTCTCCATTTCAAAGGTTAGGAAAAGATGACACAAGGTGTTTCTGCAGGATGTGCCCTGAGGAACCCAAGGGCTCCACCAGGTACATTAGGAGTGTCACAGATCATGAAGATGGAGGCACATTGTGGAATATAAAGTGACAGACTGCCTGAAGAGCCCAGACTCTTACAGTGTTTTTATCTCTTTCAGTAGAGTTTTATTGCTTAAAAAAATGTGTGCAAACCTCTGGCCTAGCTTATTGGACAAATTTGATTTTGTATTTCCTTAAATTGCTGCAAAGTACTTATCTCTTAATTTTAATGCATATTTTTTAGACTATTAAAGCTGTATGTTTTATCTCTTGCTGTACACCAGAATTAATTCTGATTGATTTTGAATTCTACATTAAGTACATAGTTTTTAGTGCATCATTCTGGGTGTTGGGGATGTAGTGCTTGATAAGGAGGCAAGATCCCTGCTGTCGTCGTCCTTGCATTCAGTGGGAACAGTTAGTTTGACAGTAGAAAGATAAACAGGAAATATTAGGGTGGGAAATGGGATTAAGAAAATGAGACAGGTTAATGTGATGGAGGTGGTGTGGGCTTCACCTGAGCAGCACAAAGGAGCCAGCTGGACACAAATGCTGGAAATGGAAACCACAGAGAAATTAGAAGACAGTACAATTTAAATGTATATCAGACCTTGGGGGAGGGGAACGTAACTTCCTAAACTCAGACTTTAATAGTAATAACCTCAAAAGAAAAGCTTGTCAGGTTAAACAAGATAAAACTTAAGGACCTTTGAATTAAAAAAACAACACATAAATGGCAAACAATTCTGAAAAATATTTTCAGCATATAAAATATATACAAGATTATCTATTAATGGCTCACATAGGTTAATAAGAAAAATGTAAAATTCAGTAGCTAAATGGCAAAGAAGCAAGACAGAGCAACACCCAGAAAAGACTATATAGTTCTCATACAACCATCACTAGAAATCCAAAAAAACATAGTTAAATGAGGAATCTTTTTTTAATGTAACAAATTAGCTTAAACTTTTTTTTTTTTAACTAATATCTCATCCTGGCATTTTCATAAATTGCCAGTGACCCTATAAGTTAGTATAATTTGGTTTTGGAAAGCAGTTTGACACTGTGTATGAAAACCCATATAAAATATTTCTGTGTCTTATCCCAGTAATTTCATTTCTGGAAATTTTAAAATAAAAACCAAATTATTGGGCGAAAATAAAGCTTGACACCTAGACATGCCCACATGACTTTTGTAGATACTTGTTAGGGCCCAGGTGTCTGATGGGAGAGAGACGTTTGAGAGAACCAGTTCCCTCCACTTAGTGGCATGTTACATGTATGTGGAAAAGATCAGTTGTGACAGTGGCAGGAGCTGGAGGAAAGGCTTTGACTTAGGGAAGGTAACAGACAACGGTGTGCAAGATTGTCTGCTCTTTTTGTTTTTTTCTGATGTGTATTTGAGGAAAACAGACTTAAGGGTACATACACCAAAGTGTTAACAATGGTGTGCTAGTTGTAGGATAAAAATTTTAACCAGTGTGTCTTAGGAAAAACTGGATTTTTCTTTAAAAACTTAACTAAAACCTAAATGACAATAATAGAGGAGACATCACTCACTTTTTATCTTTCACAAAAGAGCTTTGAAGGTACAATCGTGTGGGAGAGCCAAGACCTCCAAGGCCTTGTGTCAAGAAATCTCCACCGAGTGACAGTAAATGATGGAGGAGGAGTCCTCAGAGTCATCACAGTAAGTCATTCTTGTTTTTAAAGTTTGTTTAGCATACTTCACCGTTTTTAATACATAAAAGTTTTTAAATTTATTTTTACACCAATCCAGATAATATAGAATAATCAATCTTTTGTGTTTTAGAATATGAATAGTAGAAAATGATTTTGTAACTCCACTGTTAGTAAATACAGGGTAGGGCAAAAGTAGGTTTACATGAACCTACTTTCATGTGAGTACATGAAACACAAGAGTTTATTCTTGTTGTTTTTTAAATATATTTTTATTGATTTTCAGAGAGAGGAAGGGAGAGGGAGAGAGATAGAAACATCAGCGATGAGAGAGTCATTGATCAGCTGCCTCCTGCACTCCCCTGACTGGGGATTGAGCCTGCAACCAGGGCATGTGCCCTGACCAGGAATCGAACCACAATCTGCTGGATCCTAGGTCGATGCTCAACTGCTGAGCCATGCCTGGCTGGGCTATTCTTGTATTATTTATTAATTGTATTATTTTCCATATGAACAGCTATAAACCTACTTTTGCCCCACCCTGTATAGTGTTGCCTTAGTATCAGTGCATTTTAAGAAGTGTGATTGTTTATTTCTCAGTAATATCTAACATAAAGAACACTTGCTAATAGATTTCAGAATATTCACTGTCTCACCTTGATGGTAAGATATTAGTTAAAATACTGTAGATACACCCCTGGCAACAGGCAAGGAGACATCTGATTGGTGGTGTTGCTCTTTTATCAGTTGAGACAAAGCAGACATGTGGCCCTTAGTTCATCCTAGCTTGATGCTGTGTTGGTGGCAGAGCTGTTTCATGCCTGGGTCATATTAAAAAAAAATACTATAGATGAAAGTATTGGCAATAAGATTGAGTTTTCACTTTCATTTATAATGCTGGGGTTTCTGCCTCTCATCTTTTCCATTTATTCAAATTTGCTTCATGTTTAAAACAGTTTGACAAGTAAATTTCTCAGAGTAAATGACTAGAATGATAAAGAAGGTATATGACAGAATTGATAACTGAGCAAGGAAACATAATTTGGATTATAAAATTCTTGCTCTAATAAAAATTTCTTAAACAGCCTGGGGGTGGGGGGGAGGAATAGACAGACTTAAAATGATGACCTCTGGTTAGTGTGTGTGTGGTGGTGCCATAGTCTTTCATCTTCCTTGATGCTCTGACCTCATGATTAGAAAAGCACTTGCATTTTAGTTCACAAGCTTAGTATATTTTCATTAAATATTAACCTTACTCACATGAATTAATTCCTGAATTTGAAATGAATATCATGTGGTATGTTACCACCCATTCAGAAAACTTGTATTGCACACCAGTTATAAGCCAGGCACAGAGGTGGCAAAATGGGTGCATTACTGGCCCACAGCGGAACTTGAACCCCCGTGAGGAAGACAGACATTAAACATATAGATGCACAGGTTCATGCGGAATTGCAAACAGCCTTGTCGGCCACACTTAGCATTTCATTCACTGTTGTGAAAAGTCCTTTATTGAAGCTAGAATGTCTTATGGAGTTTAATTATAGTCTTTTTCTTTTCTTATTTTCAAGTCAAGTGTCTTTAGTATCTTGCTTCCTTTTCTGTTTGTGAAACTTAAGCATATCCAAAACGCATCAGAGTCATGAGTTGGTTACACAAAAGGAAATCAGATTACTTTGAGTTGAGGGCTAGGTTCAAATGAAAAGACTCAAGTGATCCACTTTGGGGGTGAACGTAGTTGTAGGGGGCTAAAGATAGTGTCAACACTCAGCCTGCCTAAAAAACAGTGCCTCAATAGCCTACCTAGCAAACCCCACGTGCAAACAGGTTTCGTCATAAATGCACGGACTGAAGGGCTCCTAAGTCTTGCTCCCTTGCCAGCAAGTAATAGTGTCAGAACATTTAAAAACCAAAGTAAAAGCCAAGCTGTGATCTTTTAGATAGAAGTTAATAAACAGAAAGTACTACTGTATCAGATTCTGAATAAGCCGAAACACTAGTGTATGTAGTAAAGAAATAAAGAGCACGCACCCTTCTGTGGAACTGCAAAGCTGGAATCTGTAGCATTCACTTGCTGTTTTCTCCACATTCAGCTGCAAACCATGTTTTCGGTTAAGTGACAAGTTACCACACACCTCAGGACACTGTCTCTACTAGACCTGGAACATTGCTTTGTAGGTACAGCCCTGCTGACAGATCTGCCCAGAGAGGAGGAGCGGGCAGTGCCCGGGGTAGGTGAGCGTCGCCACGCAGCCGCATCTCTGCACTCTGAGCAAGGGCCCTGCGTAAATCTAGTAATAAAGGCGCCTCCAGTGCTGAGAGTAGGCAGGACTGCTATTGGCTGTTGGCAGAGTAGTCAGTCTCTAGGCACCTTAGCAGCATCAGAAATCATGCTTAGAGGGGCTGTTCTTGGCACAGTAACCTGGCTTTAAACTGTGCCTCGATGTATTTGTACTCATGGGAATTTTCAGTCTCCAAGAAATAAAAAGGGATTATAATTTGTTTAAGTGATGGGGTTATGATGCAGAATAAAATTGGATTTTGTACTATTATGGTAGCAAGTTCAAGAATGTATGGTTTTGTGTAAGTTGGAATCCTGAACGCGTGTGGGCTGTTGCATATGCCTGATGCGTAACTTCGCAATGAAGTAACTAAAACCGAGGATGACCGAAGTCTAGTGCACAGCAGCCTGGGCAGGTTGAGCTGCTGAGGAGCACTATGAACTCTGCCAATCAGTTTTTAAATATGAGAAGCGCATTTTTATAATGAAACATTGAGCACATGCATTCTTGTTTCTTTCAGGCTGGGGAAGGTGCACTACCTCATGAATTCATGGAAGGCGTGGAGGGAGTTGCAGGTGGTTTTATTTATACTATTCAGGGTAAGTTGGCTGGTTGAAAGCCGAAAAGCAGACTGAATCTCATGTACCTAGTCTTACTCTATACTTGGACATAAAAGGTGATCTATTTTATTGTCATTAAAAAATAGCTTTATTGATGTATCATTCACATTCCACATAATTTATCCTTTTAAAGTGTTAATTCAGTGGGTTTAGTATATTGAGTTCTGCAACCATCTCCACTAATTCCTGACCGTTTCCATCACTCCAGAAAGAAACCGGGACCCATTAGCAGTCACTCCCAATTCTCCTATCCCTCCAGACAACCACTGATCTCCTTACGGACCTTAAATGTAAAGATTCGTTTCTCTGTTCCATTGATGTGTATGTCTCTCCTTACACCAGAACAACAGTCTTGCTTATGCAGCTTGGTAGTAATATTTGAAACCAGGGAGCGTGGGGGCCCCCAACCCTGTTCTTTTTCCAGATTGTTCTGGCTCTTCTGGGTCCCTTGCATTTCCATATGAATTTTAGGGCCAGCTTGTCAATTTCTGCAAAAATGTGAGCTGGAATTTTGAAAGGGGTTGTATTGGGTGTATAGATCGTTTTGGGGAGGGTTGCCATTGTAACATTAAGTTTCTGATCCATTAGCATGGGATATCTTTCCTTTTATTTAGGTCTTATTAAATTTCTTCCACTTATGTTTTGTGGTTTTCAGAGTACAAGTCTTATACTTCTTTTGTTAAATTTATTCTTACTTACTTTTAATGCTATTGTAAGTGGAATTTTTAAAATTCTTATTTCCAGATTGTTTGATGATAATGTAGTCAGTTGATTTTTGTATGTGAATTGTGTATGCTACAGCCCTGTTGAACTCATTTATTAACATAGGGTGTCCCACAAAATGTATACACACTTTGAATGATTATAAAGTCAGTATTTATTAACATATAGTTCATTTTCAAAATCTAAAAGAATCTTCACAAATGAATAATTTTTTTGTCAATGCCTGTTTTCAAATCGATGACCGTTCTGGTCCAGGCGCTGCTGATAACATGAAGCAGTGGAATCGCAAACATTAAGAATCATTCCGTTCGGTATTTGTGCGCCCTCAGTTCATCAACTATTTCTTGTTTTGTTCCATAAATTTTATCTTTTATGTATTCTCATAAAAAAAGTCTAGTGGCACTTTAGGATAAGTTTTCTTTGTTCAAATCTTAGTTTGGCTTCACCCATTATTTCAAATCAGTTAAATATGAAAAAGAGTGAAAATTGAGTTAAAGTGTGTATACATTTTGGGGGGGACACCCTGTGTCCCAAAAAAATGTCTACACACTGAAAAATTATAAAGGCCGTCTTTGTACTTCAACTGCATTTTTAAACTTCCAGAAGCATTTTAGGATGAATTTCCTTAGTTCAGAGCTTAGTCTGGCTGAAAAGAAATATCATTTGAGCCATCAGCTGTTAAAGTGTGTATACATGTTTTGGGGACACCCTGTAGTTTTGTGGATGCCTTAGGAAAATGCCTTTCAAACAAGAGTGAAATGCCCGGCCAGTGTGGCTCAGTGGTTGAGCATCAACCCACGGACCTAGAGGTCACGGTTCAATTCCCAGTCAGGGCGCATGCCCAGGTTTCGGGCTTGATCCCTAGTAGGGGCCGTGCAGGAGGCAGCTTTCTCATCATTGATATTTCTCTCTCTTTCACCCTCTCCCTTCTCTCTCTGAAATTAATAAAAAAAACATGAAATTAAAAGAAAGAGTGAAATAACTCAAGTTTTAAGGTAAAACTTGAGGAACTAAAATGAATAGATTATCTTCATGTACTGGATATATCTGGAAATCTGAGTAGAAATTAATTTTTTTTAATCTGAGGATCAAAGGGCCATTCAGAAGAATCACATGGTTCACAGATCCTTAAATTCTGTGGGCATTAGCATCTCGGGCTGGGCCCTGCCTTGAGCGACAGTGAAAGTCTTCAAGACTAGAGCTCAGACATTTGTATTTTAATGAGCTCCCTTAGATGGATTAGATGCCTCCAAACTTTGGGAGGCTGTAAGCCATATGATTCTTTTAAACAACACCTCGACAGATTGTCAGAATTAAAACACACACCGATATCTTACTTTACACTCATGTCTTTCAGAGAGATACAATATGAAACAGAATGTGGAATTTGCCCATCGAAAGACCTGCATCTGATTTCTGCTCTCATCTTGTTATGAACCATTTTCCTGTTACTCCAGTTTTATAACACTCACTTTCCTTTAAGTATTAAATTGTATGTATTTATCTTTATCTCTAAATTAAAAGTGAAAGGATGTTGCAGTAGAATGTAAGAGTTGGAAAGACCCCAAGGTTGTTTAGGCCTGTGTTTCTTAGGGGGTATCTGTGGTCCACCTGCATCAGAGTCGCAGGAAGGCGTATGTTAAAAATGCGGATTGGGCCCTAGCGGGTGGCTGTTGGTTAGAGCATTGTCCTGATATGCTAAGGTTGCGGGTTCTAGCTCCAGTCACGCCACATACAGGAAAGAACCAATGAATGATAAATAAGTCAATGTTTCTCTCTCTCTCTCCCCTCCAAAAAAATTTTTTAATTAAAAATTTTTTTTAAATAAAATAATTTTTTAAATGCAGATTGCTGGGCCCCACCACAGACATGTGGGATTTGAGGCTTGGGGCTTGGAACCTGCATTTCCAAAAGCACTCCTGAGAACCAGTCCTCCTTTTACAGGTGAAAAAACTGAGGCTCAGGACTCGTAACTTGCCAGGTGTCTCATAGAGAGTGGCAGACGCAGAAATCAAGTTCGTAGGTCTCCGGACTCTCATCCCTCGGTGTCTCCATCTGCACTTACAAAGCGGATGCTAAATGACTTTTGTTTCCTTTCCCCACCCTCAGCCACTCACTTTTCTTTTTCAGGAATTTTCTCTAATTTGAGACACTTGAGGAAAACCCTGCCCTAGTGAAAGAATTGCTGCCTTGGTAAACCCATAGGGTCTGAAGGCAGTGCCTGCACAAGGGCTGCAAGTGAGTCACTAGCCTGTGAGGTAAATAGTCTCCTAAGCACATTTGCAACATTTTTATGGTGAAACATCATAGATACACCAAAAATAGGAAGCACTGTAAGAAATGTACTTATTGTCAGAATTAACAATGTTTACCTTTTGTCATATTTGCTTTTTTTTTTAAAATGGAAATATAAAGCATTACAGGTACAATTGGAGCCCCTCCCTTCCAGTTGTCCCCTCCCTGCTCCTCTCCTTCCCCTCCAGGGTGCCTCTGTCCTGAATCCTGTGTCCCCTTGCCCTTCTTGCTTCTCTACTTTCTACTACATTTGTACATATCTTTAAGTAAAATATAGTGTTGATTAGAATGTTTCATAATTGATATGTATGGTATCATTGCATATATCAATTAGCAACGTATTTTTCTCAGCGTTATTTTTCATTGTCATTGCTCTTAACATGCAAGATGGGGTTAGTTTTTAAACTGCCATGTTCCCCTGGGTGATGGACCACACCTTAGCCATTCTCCTGCCGGTGGGCACTTAGTTTGGTTCCATTTTTTCAGTTATAAGCAGTGCTGCAGCGACTGTTCTTGTGATCATGTAAATAACGTCTGCAGTGGGCTTAACGAGTCCACAGTGTGCGCACCCTCCACCTAACAAGATACCGCCGTGCTGCCCTCCAGCACAGTGTGTCCAGTTATCCTGGGAGTTCCCGTTTCCCTGCCTCCAGCACAGTGTGTCCAGTTATCCTGGGAGTTCCCGTTTCCCTGCCTCCAGCTCCCACGGCCATGCTCCTGTCCCTCACCTTGGGAACAGAGCGTTCGAGTACCTCACAGCCCAGGTCTGGGTCCTCCGTTGGCAGTGGCATTTTCTCCAGCTCTCGACTTTTCCTTTTTAGAAGGTGATGCACTCTTACAAAGCCTTCGTTCTCGCCCTGGAAGACGTAGTGACCATCTAAGAAACCTCCACGAGGAGGATGCCTTACTGAAGGAGGAAAGCAGCGCCCACGATGACATTGTTTTTGTGGATGTCGTCGACACTTACCGTAACGTTCCTGCAAAGTTGTTGAACTTCTATAAATGGTAGGTTGTAGATAGAATTTTAGTGTTTTTTTCAATCTTCACCCAAGGATATGTTTTATTGATTTTAGTGAGAGCGGAAGGGAGAGAGAGAAACGTCGATCGTTTGCTTTCCGTACGTGCCCTGACCAGGGATCAAACCCGCGGCCTTTTGGTGCACAGGACGATGTTCCAGCCAGCTCTGCCACCGGGCCGGGGCTGTGGTGGTGGCCTTTTGATGGAGAAACAGTTTACCAAACAAACCGTCCTAAGATCCCTGATTGCCTGGGATATGGTCTTTGTATCTTGGTTCTCCGAGGATAGATCTTAAAAATGCTGCTGCTTTCTTTCTTAGATTAGCAAACTCAGAATGTGAATGATAGTGATCTATCAAAAACTAGCAGACAAAACGGACTTCACTTTGAGGCAGTCATTCCTTTGAGTCACTGCCATGGCTGTTCAAGCCAACGTCAGACGAAAATCAGTGAGTTTGAAAGTGGCCCATTTTCATACTTTTCTACCTAAATCCTCAATTATAGTCACTTGCACCCAGGTACTGGTCTGAATTCTGTTCAGCTGAACAGCTACATTATATTTCCATTCTCTACTCCACTCATTTAAAAGTTACTTGCCCTAATTACAAAACTTTTATATAAAATGAAATTCAACAACCCTCAGAGTCTGTCATATTTATAACTTCCTGAGCCTCCAGTGTTTCTTGGGTCTTAGCTGTAATTCCTACCTTTATAATAATAATAGCAACAATAATATTAACAGTTGTTAACATTATTAGTTTTTCTAGGATCCCATAATTTGCTGAGCTCCTTGATACTGTCCACCCTGACTGTAGGACTAAAACCTGCTAACTTATCAGTCTAGACTAAATCTATAAAGTGTATTCCCATCTCTCTTTTCTTTTAAAACTCTCAATGAGTGTGTTTCTTGGTGACCCTCATCAGTCCCATCTTCTCTGTTACCCTGAGCAGAGTGGGAAATTATTAGGCATGCTATGGTATGGTCCCCTGGTCCTGAGGGGCAGACGGTCTGATTGGTTTATGGAAGGTAATGTTTCATAGCTAGGCCAAATCAGTATAATTCTGCAGTCGTCCTGTGGGCAGAGGACAGACATAGATAGGAGGTTTTGGTGTGTCTGGAATACCAGGATTAAGTTTGGACAGCTATTGTAGCTCAAGGCCACTAATAGGCCTCCCTGTTGTAAGTGGGGCCATAAAGAGGTGCAGGGTGGGGATGGAGGTCCAGGAACTGGGAAATCAGTGTGGTGGAGTTCTAGGGCTTTCCACAGGGGCTGACTCCCAGCTGTGGAAGTTCTGTTTAGCTAGATAATACCTTCAATTTAAGCTTTATCTCTTCTCCTTGCCTATCTCTGAGATCTTAGCCTCTCCCTTCAGCCTCTGTTGCCACTGTTTTGGGCTGTCATCTCCACCTGGATGACCAGGTGACCTTCTAACAGCTTTGGGACCTGCTTCCCCGTAGCTTACTCCACCTGTCTGCCCTGCACCGAGAATGAAAGCTCCAGTCATCCATTGCTCTGCATTTGGTTGACTCATCACCGACCTCACAAAAGTTCATTCCTCATTAGCAAGTATTATGTGTGCCTCATGCTGCTAATTAGAAGTGAACTTTAGAAGCATAGGTGATGCCATTCGGTATGAACCCATTGCTGTGAACCTAGCCATTCTTTAGTTTTGTTTTGCTAATTCTCACCCAAGGGTATTTTTTCCATTGATTTTTAGACAGAGTGGGAGGGGGGCAGGGGAGAGAAACATTGATGTGACAGAGAAACCTCAGTTGCCTCCCGCATGTGTCCGGACCAGGGATCATTGAACCTGTTAACCCAGGTACATGCCCTTGACCGGAATCAAGCCCGTACACCAAAAGGTCAAGGACTGACACTCTAACTACTGAGCCACACTGGCCAGGGCTGAACCTAACCATTCTTTCACTTAAGGAAACTTCCTCCAGATTTCTTTCATTCATATTTCTGTCATCTGGTTTCCTGGGCAACACAAAGAAGCCAACTTATTTTGAATCTCAGTTTCAGATTGAATTGGGCAGTTGACCAAACCAGAAAGTGGCAGGAGCTGAGCTTTTTCACAAAGATGTACAGGGATTAGCACTGTGAAATGAAGTCTTCGGTTGTGTCTCTAGTTGCCATTATATATTTTTTATGTCTAGAGAAATAAAATCACCCTCCTGTGCCTTCCAGAAAGGTCACTGAGAAAAGTGTAATTGCTGGAGCATGTGTTTCCTTGTCTAACTCACTTTTTAGCTATAAGCTAGCTGAATGTCTATAAACAGTAGCATATTGTTGCTGCTTGTCCAGCAGTGTTCTGTGTGAGGGACCAGGCCCCTCATCCTGGGCCTGTCTTACTAAGAACTTGAGGGGCGAGGTCCAGTATAATACTCTCGCCTGGCCTGGCAGTGCCCGGGAGGCATTTGTTCCATCCTGTGTTCCACTTAAGCAGATGCCTGTTGATTGTGTTCCTCGCTTTTGCACCTTTTCAAATCGGCGGTGCTTCTCTGTGTTCGGCCACACAGTCAGTGTGGAGTGAGGGTGGTAGTTGGCAGCAGCGTAGAGCAAACGTTCTCCACTGGAGGAACAGGAAGCGGAACAGGATGCAGGCGGCAGGGCACAGTTCTAATGAAACTGAGCAGTGACCATGTCAGCTTTGCTTTGTTTCCTTGTATGGACGCACTGACTTACGTCCCTTTTTTGCCAACAGGACCGTAAAAACAACCAGCTTTGATTTACTGCTCAAGACAGATGATGACTGTTACATAGACTTGGAAGCTGTATTTAATAGAATTGCTCACAAGAACCTGGATGGACCTAATTTTTGGTGGGGAAAGTAAGTTAAACATTGTTAGCTCCTTGGCGTTCATGTACCTGATCAAAGGTGATTAATTTAGAATGAAATATACCTTATTTTTCTTCAGAAAAATGTGGTTGAGATAGGAAATTTCCCTCTTAGGCTCCTGGGTTAATATATTTTATTAACCTATGATTAGAGAAAAAAAAACTTTAAAATGAAAACCTCAAGGTAATGAAGGCAGGAAAGGGACTTGGCTTTACCCTCCTGCCCTGGAAATAGGTGGCACTCAGATTAGCAGCTGCTGCATATTACATGTTAGAACCAGCCTGTTACATTCTGAAACTGATCTTCAGTACGGCACTGACGAGTGGCGTTTTTAAGTATGTATGTGTATACACACACACACGATTGAGTGAAGTTTTTAAATATATATACACACATATACACAAGGTGATCTGGTACTTTCCATTTAGGAACTCTACAAATGCAGCGTTGAGAGGATTTAAATATATGGTCTTTTATATAAAATACCCTAGATAAATAATTCCTTTCTTAGACTAAATAAAATTCTCATTCTCTCCTTGCCTTGGTGCCTCTGTTCCTCTGTCGTGATAGTAACAGTGATAGGATGTGTGCCAGCTTATTTTGAATCTCAGTTTCAGACTGAACTGGGCAGTTGACCGGACAGGAAAGTGGCAGGAGCTGGAGTATCCCAGCCCAGCGTACCCTGCCTTCGCATGCGGCTCAGGGTATGTGGTCTCCAGGGACATCGTCCACTGGCTGGCCAGCAACGCGGGGAGGCTGAAGACCTATCAGGTAGGTAATTGAGGATTTCTGACTAAGAGTGTACCCACCCAACCAAGTTTCTCCAGCCCTGTGTCCCCTCCCTGGAAGCAGGGCCACTTGCCTTGGGGAAGAACATTTATTTTCTGTGTAGGAGTGACTCAAGTTAGAGACACGTTCCTGTCCCTCAAATTTGGCTCTCAGTTCTAGTCAACCCTTTTTTGAACCTACTTACGTATATTCAGCCTAATAAATTATCAACTGAATGGGTGTGGCACTGTGCTTACAGATGGTAGAGCATTTAAACTTTATGCTGCACGTCTAGGGTGAAGATGTAAGCATGGGCATCTGGATGGCGGCCATAGGACCCAAAAGATACCAGGTAAGCAGGTCTGGATGGGGCTGCCTGGGGAGCTGAGGAAGTGTTTCCATATCAAACCTTGGGCAGGAACAGAGAATTGAAGATTTAGCACTGTTGCTGTGCTCTTGATTTAATTCACAAGAATCCACCTGGGTTCTCATGCAAAATGTTTCTGAGTTGAAGACATAAGGAAATGCTTTGAGTGGAAGTTCAGCCCATAAAGAATTAGGTATTTATCAGGAATTCTTTGCAGCTTGAAACGTAAGGAATCGGCTGACATAAGTTTCTAGCAGTGTGCTGGTCTGATGCAAATGAAACACTGGATAAAATATGGTCAGGCGTCTCGTAAAATACACTGATCACTGAGCTGGAAAAACAGGAACCGAACCTGCACAGACCAGACGTGGAAAATAGAGCCCTAGAGAGCAAGCCCAAAGCTGGCCTTTCCGCGAGGGTTTCTGTTGAATTCTGGATTCTTGAAGCTTCCACTTTGGCCATAGGAGGTGCCTGGGCCTGGAGCAGCGCACCTCACCTCCTTGCTCAGCTTCGCTCGTCCCAGTCCTGCTGCACTGTCAGTCCCATCTCTGGTTTAGTACGCACTGAATCTGTTTGTGTGTCTGATCATTCTGGCATCTGCTGTCTGCAGACTCTGGCTGTGGTTTCTGCGGACTTGCTCATGGAGTTTGTTTCCTGATGTGTTTAGAGGCTGTTTTGCTGTGACCTCATGTTCCTTGGGACCTGGGGTCTGAATCTGAAACAGAGAGGGTTTACATCTTTGCTGCCACACCCGAGGGCATCACATCCATGAGCGTTTTCAGTTTCTGACATGGGCCTTGTGGGCTCCACAGAATGAGACTAGCCGGATTCCCACCTGAGTGCAGGCTCTGGTTCCATCCTACCCACCCAGGGCCATGGCTGAGACCCACAAGCCTCCTCCGTAGTTTTGTTTTCTTACTAGTCCCCAGGCTCTGGCCCCTCAGGGGTCCTGGCTGGCTGTGGGACTCCCTGGTCAGTCTCCTGGTCCTGGAGAGTCTCAGGCCTTTTAACCCAGCAGCTGCTACCAGGCCCAGGCCGGCATCTGCGGGCCTCCAGTTCCTTCTTCAGGACCAGCACAGCCTCAATTTACAGAGATGCTTGGGGCTACAGCAGCATTTGCATGTTCTTTGCTTGGAGGGGTCGCTCTGGGTCTGTATGCTGGGAACAGGAGAGTCCGTGCAGTTGGAACAGGCTGGTGGGTCCTCTGAGTCCCTCCTGCTCAGCACAACTTACCTGCATGAACTTCCCTGTGACCTGGAGCAAGGTCCCTCACTCTGTTCCAGGTTCTCCTGTATAAAAGGGAAATGGTACTTCCCAAGATAACTGAAGATTAAATTAGGTGACGTTTTAAAGCACTTGGCACAATCCCTGGAGTATTGCAGCATTCCACTAGAGCAGCTGTCGTCACACTGCTGGGCAGCCACTGGCTCTGATGGCAGGTGTGAGACTTTCCATCCGTGGTTCCCCAACCTGATCTCCCTTTGCTCGCTGTTGGTGTGGCGTGCATGCACACTGTTTCTGTACTCTGGCTGCGGTTGCTGCACGTGGCACTGTGCCCGTGCCCCACAGGCCCGAGGGGTTCACATACTGAGTTGTCTCTGCAGTAATTCAGCTTCCTGGGGATGGGAAAGCAGCCCGCAAGCGAGCTCTTCACGCTGCTGACCTCACAGTCCCGTCAGCTTCTCTGTTTTCCACCAGGATGGCCTGTGGCTGTGTGAGAAGACCTGTGAAACGGGGATGCTGTCTTCCCCCCAGTACTCCGCGCAGGAGCTCACGGAGCTGTGGAAGCTGAAGGAGCTGTGTGGTGACCCCTGTCAGTGCGAGCGAGGTGATGATTTACAGCGCAGGGTTTAGCGGCCAGGGCAGGTGAACAGCGACCCGAGTGTAAACCTGAGGAGCGTGGGCTCGGCCGCCCTATGTGCTTCTCGGGAGAGCTCCAGGCTGGCACTGCTGTGCTCAGAGTTTGCAGTCTCCTTCTAAAAACCAACCCTGACACTGTAGCATAAGAAAAATTACTTATATATTGGAAGATTTGAAAAATACCAAATAGTTTATAAAGAAAACATATTTCTAAATCCTAATGCATCATTTCTAGTTAGAATTTGTTGCCTATCATTTCTGGTTAAAAGTTGGCTTGTTCAGAATCGTTAGTAACAGAGTTGGACTCTCAGCCTGGGTTGCAGAACAGCTTCATACAGCGTGATTAGGACAATTGACATGGGCCAAAAACAGCTCAGAGATGGTTGTGTGGTCATGTGATCGCTTATGAGCTGTGTCACTTATACCAAAGTTTGGAGTTTCTGGAAATAATGCCATTTTCCGTGGGGTCTGAATGAAGGGGGCAACTTAAATTGGCTCTTTTCCAAGTTTAACTCTCAATTCTAGACCTTGGTTTCATTAAGTGGACTAATGCAAGTTTTCTTTCACCATTTCACATGAACCCTGGAAGTCACAGTGTAGTACGCCTATGAAAAATCCTGAATTCTTGTGAATATAAGTAAAATCAAACACCTCTCAGGGTTTTAGTGCCACAGGGAAGGATATTTCTAAATAGCTGACACTTTGAAAGAATTCTGCTTTCCTCCTGTCATTACCTAATGTTTACCTAATATAAGTGAATTCTGATCAGAGCTGGCATCTTTCATAGAAGGATAAGCTCAGTTGAGGTGTAACTGTAGGGGAAGCGTGTAATTAATTGCTGTAAGTCCTCTAAAAACAGTGCAGCTGAGAAGAGATTGTAGCATGTGTGTTGTACACAGCGGAGGATGTGCCCCTCAGTTTAAGGGACATTTCCCTAAATGACCAACCAAATCAATTTAGTAACCTTTTAAACTGGTAGCATCAATAGAGAATCCCATTAAAACTGGTCTGATGACAGACATTAACTGTGTGCAGTTAATAAAACGATTAGCCCAGCTAGGTTCTATTTAATAGTGAAATCTTCGCATAAGGAAATGCAGTCATGAACTATGTTACGAAATAAAACCAGAAAGTCATTAGTAGGTACAGAGCCTTTAATAATATACAAGCCTAGAAATGGTCGCTTCCTAAAGAAAAGTACAGCCCTTCCTATAGTTGGGGCAAGTTACAAAACCTCTTTTTTTGATAGAATTGTCCCAGTAAGTGGTTTCTTTCCCGTGAGCCCGAGTCACAGTGAGCAGTCTGGTCTGAGTGTTGTCAGCTGCTGTCACCATCGCACTAACAGACAGTCTCCATTTTCCACAGAATAAAACTCCAGTGGCTGCTGGTCATTTTCTAGTTCAATCTCTCTGCCAGGCATCTAAAATTAGAACAGAGGGTTGGGGTGATTAAGACAGATCTGACTGAGCATTTAGTTGTACCCACCTCCCAGCCAGACTTGGTAGGCCCTGAACTGCAGGGTCTGTGTGGTCTCCACTCAGACTTAGCTCTAGAGACTTAGATTAGCAGCATGACGCATGGGATCTAAGCTCAGCTGTTCCGCTGGGCAACTTACTTTGGGACTTTCATAGGACAGCAGAAGGTCTGACACAGGAACTTTGAGAAGACGTGACAGCAGTCCTTTCACCTTCTGAATTGTCATCGAGTCTATCAAAGAAAAGAAAAACCATCAATTCTCTCAATTGATAGTTACCTGTCAAACTAGCTCACAGTAAAGACCTTAGCTGCAGGGACAGCTGAAACTGTCACTTCAGTGTCGGTCCACCCAGGTAACCAATGAGGCAGGCACAGGGAGCGCAGTCTCAGCACTCGAGTCACGGGGAACGGAGCTGGCATTTGACCTAAGTGCCCTTTGTCAGTGAGTTTTCATACATTTCAGTGGTGTGAGTACTTCCTTCCTGATCCCAATAAACCAGAAGCCCTATCTCTGCACAGAGGAGTAAGTGGAGTAAGTCACTCACTTTTCAAGTCTTTGTGATCTTATGGCTCAACTAAAAGACCACTAGTGGGCCTTCTCGCCCTCTGGCCTTAGTTTCTCTCCTCTGTAGAGAGGGATGAACTGCAGGGTCTACCAGGTCCCTTCCAGCGCAACCGCCAGGAGCTATCACCACGTTTCATTGTGCTTGACACGCAGGCTGGTGACCACCAGACACGGAATGTAGCTTAATGAGCAAATGCTTGGTTTGTTCAGAAAACACTATGAACTTTTCTCCAAAGATGAGCTGTGGTAAATATTGGATATTTTGATTATAGGAAATAGAGTTCTTTGAAGCTTTAGCTGGAGGAACAGCAATAGTGTGGTGTTCCTACAAATATCACATGGATTCAAATATTTTTCTATCAAAAATAATTTTTGTAAAGGCTGTCTGTGTTTTTATGCAACTTGTGATAATAAATGTTCTTTATTTTAGAAAAAAATGCCTTAAGTTTATGTACTGAATAGCCAATAGACATAATTCTAATTAGCATAATTTGCTCAGATAATCTTGTCCTTTCAGAAAATCTCAGTGGACCAGGTTCACCATTCACGGTGGTCAGTGATAGGCTGACTCCTGCACGGCACCATGCAGTGACGCCTTCCTAAGCCAGAAACAGTGATTTTAAAACCGGTCTAGTAAGAAAGCTGCCTACCTGTGCTGTGTCTACAGAAGAAAGTGGCAGTTAGCCTGTGATAATCTAAATAATGTTGCTATTTTTAATACAAAAGTAACATATGATTGCCCGCTGGTGTAGCTCAGTGGTTGAGCCCTGACCCATGAACCAGGAGATCACAGTTCAATTCCCGGTCAGGGCACAGGCCTGGGTTTCAGGCTCGATCTCCAGTAGGGGGAGTGCAGGAGGCAGCCGATCAATGACTCTTTCCCTCTCCCTTCCTCTCTCTGAAATCAATAAAAACATTTTTTTAAGAAAAGCAACATGATTATCTTAACATTCTGAAAATGCAGAATTAGGTAATTATCTTTTTGCCTCCCCAGGTCCAGTGTTAAAAGTTTGGGTGTACTTCCAAACTTTCTCCTGTTTATATAAGGATGTATAGTTTCATAATACATATTGGTCTACAACTTGGATTTATCATATAGCGGCAGACCTCATGCCGGCTCCTCTGGGCCAGTGCTGTCCACTCAGCAGCTCCATGTGGTGACTGTGACTAAGCTGAGCCTTCTGTTCTATTTCAGTTTAATGAATTTATATCGCCACACATGGCAGCCACACTGGACAGCACAGCTCTAGGCCACTTCATTCTCTGACGACATGATACTGTGATGTGTGGTCCTACTTGAAATGGTCCGCTATTCCCCTGAACACTGAGATTGCTTTTATTTTTACCATTACACCTGCCCCAAGGCTGAATGCTTGGTCAGAGCATATATGTAATTTTAATTTTTATACTAATTACCACCTGGCTTTACAAAAAGTTTATACTGATTTTTTATGCCAGTGTGCATGTTGGTGCTTTTAACTTTTGCTAATCCAATTGGCAAAAAAAGTTTCAGTGTTTTATATTTATTTATCACTTTTCTCTTTAAAGGATATTTATGTTAGTGGCTAGACATTTACAGCCTGTGGCATAAAACTTCGTAAGAACTGTTTGAATCTGCTGGTGTACTGCTGAGTTTTGAGACTACAGGACTCAGGTTCCAAATAGCTAAAAGCCATAATTAATACATATAATTTCTTTGGATAATTCTAATCTCTGCTAGTTCCACCTGGAGGTTAATAAAACTCAACCTGAGCACGGTGGGTGCTGCTGTGGGTGACTGAGTCCCAGGAGGACTGGGACAGTGCCGGGTGTACAGTATGGTTTTGTGCATCTGGAAAGTAAAAGGGAAAACACAGACATCCAAAGCCATTTTTGTTAACAAAAAGCTCTGTCTGTCTCCATGATTCCTTTACTGAGTGTTTAAACTTGAAAACAAGAGTGAAAGGGGAACCAGTGATTCTAATTCATCTTTATGTAACAAAACTACGTATCACAGAAATAGATGGACGGCTAGTAAATAGCAGTGGAGTGGCACCAGTAAAGGGACCGACGTGATGGTCAGCAACCAGAAAGGTGCTCTGAGCCCAGCCAAAGCCTTCCAGCAACACCAGGACAAGCTTCTCTATAAAAACTAATTTAAAAATCAGGTTTTACTGCACTGACAGGCCAACAAAAGACAAGGATTTTACTTGAGTCATTTAGGGTGATGTGTATTTCATTTCTTCAAATTCCACTGCTCTAAGCTTAACCTGTTCATATTTTAGTATTTAACTGAACTGAGTTAATCTTGAGAATTCACAGTATACTAAAGATAGAGTGTAATTTAATTTTTCTATTGAGTGAAAGCTTTAAATTACACTGATCTAATTTGACATAAGTATTTTTCCAAATAAAAGTAATTCAGTTCCAGTAGCACAAACATTTAAAGTTGGGGTTTTTCCCCAAAGAAAACCATCTCAGCGTGTCCATAAAAGACAGCACCTAAGAACTGTTTCTGACTGTAGATTGTACAAAAGTCACAAATGTCCAAGCAATTCAACTTAGTTCACTAGGACAGCATTCCTGTTTTATGAGGGGTGATAAGACAGACTTCCCGTCAGGCTATCAACCTTCTAGCCAAGAAAAACTCCCAGAGCCACAGTCTAAGATCTAAACAGGAGCGGGTGGGGGGAGAGTCCTCAGAGGCTCCAGTTTGGTGGCTTTGGCTAAACTCTGGACCACATGCAGGGGCTTCCTTTCCACAAAGGTGTTTTCTAGGTAAGCTGATAACGTCACCGGGGGCGGGAGTGATGTGAGCATGTTTGATTCTATTTTAGAATAGAAAAAGCTAGTGACACCAGTACCTCCACGAGGCCACACGTTCAGGTGCAGGTGGCCTGTTTTACAAGCAGCAACACAGAAGCATAAGGGGAGGAGACTCTTCTTACCTGGCAGTTGTTTCTCTAGGAATCTCTGGTCCGGGTGGTTAGGATATTTTATCTTCAGTGCTTGAAGGAAAATGGAAAAGACTGAGACGTGCTATAATACGGATTTAAATGACACCTGTACAGTACAGCCTGGCTCACACCCCAACAAAGGATTCGGTCTTGCTGATGTTTAAAATCCCTTCTGTTAATACTTCACCGAGTTACTAACAAAACAGCTCTCCCTTTTCCCCTTAAGTACGTCTTTCCTGACAGTGTCACTCGGTTCTCAAGTGTAAGGAAAGTCAGATTTCCAGGTCACTATTCAGTTCACTGCTCAGATACTTCCCACATTTATAACACTATTAAATGCACTGAAAGCATGGGAATTACTGAAATGTTCAATATAATAATTTAGATATGTTTGAGAACTTATCGTTTTTAAAAATCAAAGTCCTGTATAAGCACTTGAGAGAAACAGCCCCTAGTAGGTCGTCCCATCTGGTTCAGTAAAGTGCTGGAACACAAATGCTATCTTTGAATTTAGGTCTTACTTAGTAGCTGGTTTTTTAGCAAAAATGGTTGTTGTGTTTTGAGTTCTCCGTCTTCAGGTGCCCCGTATTCTATTTAAGAAATAAAAACGATGAATGAAGAGCCGCAGGCCACTGTAAGGAAAAGTGTAAGGTGAGTGTCGCCACAGGCCCAGCCTCGCACAGCTGGTAGGCTGGCCCGGGGCGTCCCTGTTCCTCAGTCCCCCATCTGAGTTTAGGAGGAGGGACAGCACCTGCTCTGGAGTGTGGACCCTCCATCCCGTGTATCACATCCTGCTCCTCAGAGATGACAGTGTCCTGACAAACTAGCAGGATGGGGCTGTGCTTCGCGATACTTAAACCATTTAGTCGAAGTTCCACCTGTGCCAACATCTCCCTTTCCTTCTGAATCTTGAGATAGACCTGGTGCTATTTGGGACACAACTCAGGGGACATCTTCAGCTAGATCAGTTTCCGCCAGATCGAGCAACGTCAGAGTGGGCCCTCGGTACCCCCCCTCAACCAGGTCCCCTCTGGGAAAGCAGCCTCAATATGATATAAGGGTGTAAGTGACAAAATTTCCATAAATACCCCCAAGTATCTGCTCTGCCTTGTAGCTTCTTAGCAGGAAGTGCTAGTGGCACCTGCAGGGCTGCGTGGAACCTTCCCTTCCCCCACCCCAAGTGACTGCAGTCACCTAAAGTAGCGGGGAATTGGGCCAGCTAATGGGGTAATTGGAAAGCAATTCCCACAGGCAGCTTTTCCTCAAAGGTAATGTTGCAGCCTGAAGCATATGCAGTGAGCTCACATTAGGAAATATGAAAAAAGAAAATCACATAAAAGTGAAATTTGGAATGATGATGAAATCAAAACAAAGTGGGGAGTAATCAGGCAGAGCCCGGAAGTGGCGGCTGAGGGCCGGGCTGCAGGGTGTGAGTGCTGAGCCCCCGACCCGAGGCTAGCAGGCCTCAGAACTGGCATGGAGGTCAGTTCCCGGGGCGCTGGAAAAAGTGCCAGCGCCCAGTCCCACCTGCAAATGCTCCTAATTCAGATTCCCTAGTTAGCCAGGTTGGGACAGCGGGGCGGGGGGGCAGCCCTCCTGGGTCGGAGTGTGCAGATGTGTCGGGGTGAGAACTTGGTTCAGGAGCTGTCCTCCCCACAGCCCAGCTTCCTTCTGCCAGTTCGTCTCCTCTAAAGACAGTTTCATGCCTGCTCTCAACCTGCTGAAGTAGCCCCAGGAAATACCCGGCACCCACTAGATAAAGGAGAACGAAGCCCAGGGAGGGAAGCAACAGCCCGAGGCCTCAGGGACACCCAGGGGAGGCGCATACGCACTGCGGCAGAGGGACAGGTATCTGGGATGGGCGGCCAGGAACTCCTCGCTCGGCCTGTTTTTGTCGGGGTCCTGATGGCCACCGGCCCCTTTCCATTCCTTTCCGAACGCTTTGCGGTAATCCAGCTCCGCCCCGCGCCTCTCCTCCGGCAGAATCTACGGTGACGGGAAATACAAACAGGCCCACTGAGGCATTTTCTAATGAGCGTGCTCTGCACCCTGTCCTTCCCCACTGTCCACCCACAGAGATAATCAGAGGACAGATAACAATTGTATTTTTACCTTTTTAACTGACAGAGCTCAGGAGTTTATTAAAAAAAAAAAAAAAAATTTCAGTTTTCTACTTTTCTTCATGGGAGTATTGGCCCAGACTGGTTTCTGGACTATGCCAGGTGCCAGTGGTCACCCACGTGTGGGCAGCCCACCTAGGGGAGCCCACCTAGGGGAGCCCACTTGGGGCAGTGGACATTCTCAGCCAGCAGCTCCAGAAGGCTGGCAAAGCAGCCCCTACCCGTTTACGAAAAGGGGAGGCTCGCAGGCTCACGGTTCTTTCTGCCCACGCTCCCCCCAT